GCGGGGGGCAGCCGGCAGCCCCAAGTGCAGGAAGCAGTGGGGCCCAGGAGCGGGGTCCCACTTAACGGGTTGAAGCTAAAGGTTAACTGGCTGGAAAGGGTTTGATCTTGATGGACAGATGTCAAAACCGCTGATTTCTTTCTGGCGCCCCAAAGTGAAGGGGAGGGGAAAGAATCGAATTGCAAACAGTGAAGTTAATTTCCTGGGATCCCAGCGATAGCTTAAGAACAGCTGATTAGCTTCTGGCACCTCACCCCAGTCCCACGAGCGCCCTCTGGCCCCGGGAATACTCTAATTCTCTTCCTGCATCTGTTCTGCCTCTCCCCTCCTGCGTTTCGGCTTGGCCTCTGAGTTATCGCCTGTAGCACAAAGAGGCACCTTGATAGAATGACGTTTAGGGGGGAAAATCTTCAAAATCTCTGCCAGGGCCTTTGAAGTGTATTTCCGTCAGCCTCCGTTGACTCACTAAGGAACGGGTCATGCTGGGAATCCTTCCCACCCTCCCACCCTTTCCCCTGATGAAATCACGCCCTGTTTGCTCTGAATTTCTGCCTCTCCAAGCACAGGTCCGGCTTTTCGGCCAGTAATCACTGGGGCTGACGGCCTGGGGTTCATGCAGCTCTGTCTCGGATTCCTCGTGCGTCAACGGGCTCAAGCATATTCTTCCCACAATAAGAGGCCTTTCTGCTTCCTTGGGCTCTTGTTTCTCCCCCGTCCCTTGTTGCATCTCCTTGTTTATTGTTGACTTTTGTGACTGACCCGGCCTGCTCGGATTTTTCTCTGTGGATAAAAGGGCCCTAAAGCTTATCTTTATTACCGCTGAACTCTCTGGAATGCGTTCAACGCAGCAGGATGTTCAGCTCCAGAATAGCTTTTGAGCCTCTTGAGTGCTGGGACAATAGGCGCAGGGCTCAGGTATCCATCGCTGGCACACAGCTAATTGGCGAGCCCTACGTGACCGCTCCCACGGGCAGACAAAAGCCAGCCTGCAGGGGTGCGGCGGGGGAAGGGAGGAGAGTTACGGAAACTCTCTCCTGGGCGGCCGCCCGGCTGGGGGGCAGAACAACTCGGATCAGCTGCAGCGCTTGGAATGTGAGCAGGAAGCAGCGGGTAGGGGCCGAGTCGCTGCCCATGGGTGTGGCCGTCCGCAGGGCAGAGGACGAGGGATGTGACCACTGTGAGCCAGTGCGAGCTCATTCTCCTGGGGCAGGAAGGCGTCTCCTCGCTCCCCCGTTACTCAACAGCCTCCGTGGGGTGAGGCTGCAGGCGCTGGTCCCAGCTGGAGGCAGGGTTCCAGACTGACTGGCCCTTGGCCCCCCTGCGTACGCTGAGCAGCGCCAGACTCACCATCTCCTTTTCCCCATGCCACCACGCCCGGCTCTTCTGATGCTTTCCTGACCAGTTTCCCCCTGTGTCTGCCATGACGGCAGCTCCCTGCAGGGTCTCGTGTAGACTCGGCTGCTGGGGGCCTTGGGCTGCACGTGGGGAACCTACCGCAGACTTGCCTGCAGGCAAACGAAGCCTGCGCCTCCTTCCTTTGTGCCTCACTTGGGCTCACCCCATAAAGTGGGATGGGGCACCTAAGGCCTGGGGGACAGATCCGGCCCCTGGCTTGCCTGGACTCTGCACCAGCATCATCCACTCCCTAACCTGCTCCTGCACCCCACCACCCTCCCAGCCTGCTCCTGCAACCCTCCTGCCCAGACCACGCATCCCCGTCCAGCCCCCCCCCCCACACACACACACTGAACCCTTCATTTTTAGCTTATGGGGAGACTCACAAAATCTACTAGCCCTGTGCCCCCCCGGCGCTAGTGTGCAAGGGGAATCCGGAGAACGTCTTTCTGCTTCTCAGTGAGGGGCCTGAGGGGTCAGGTTTTGGGGTTTTTTTGCTTTTCACTTCTGTGTGGCCCCAACTGATTTTTCTGTGGGGCAGCAGCCCCAGACCCAAAAAAGGTCCCCACCCGCCATAAAGGGACACTGTCAAGTTAGAATCCCCCTGTTCGGGGCAGCCCCTTACCTGCATGACGGACGCCTTGTGTCCGGAGAGCCGACGGGCCGTGCCTAAAATCCACGTGCGCATCCCCGGCCTGTTGCTCCTTTTCCCCCTAGAGATTCTGCCCCTTTCACTCTCCGGGCCTCTCGCTGTTGGCCTGGGCTGCTGGCCAGGTCATGGCACCAGGGAAGGGACGTGGCCTCCCCAGGTAAATCAAAGCAACCGTCACTTTTAAAGAGAAACATTCACTGGACACAAAATCTCCTGGGGGTTTGAAAGTTCCTGGGGGTTGCTGTGATTGGGCAGAGTCCCTCGCCGATTCTCTCCCTCCCCCCGGGAGCTGGCGCGTCATGTCCCAGGCCAGGTGCTGCCGCCCCGGGTGTCTCTGCAGTTGGGGCCGGGGGACCCGAAGGCGCGAGAATGACCGTTGTGCTCCCCTGCTCCTAAGCAGGTTCCATGGGGGGGCGCCGGGCATGGCGGGTCGGGGCAGCCTCCATGTACACGCTGCCTAACCCAGTGAGCGCTTCTACTCCAGGCTGAAATTCATATTTGGCTCGTCTGCGGTGGCGGCCTTGGATCTGGTTGACCAGCACTCAGTCTCCCGGGTGGTGTCTCCTAGCGGAAGGGCCGTGTACCAGGTAGGGACCATGCGTTTCTCCTGCCGGGGGCTGTGCCTGCCTGGCCCCCTGCCACGGGAAGTCAGGCGGCACGCTGGCTGCTTCTCAGCCCCTTGGGGAGGTGGGGAAGTCTTCAAACGGGCCAGGAGAGCAGCCGTGCTAAGTGGGAACCTACCCGCATGGCTCAGGGCCTGCACGCCACCTCCCAGAGGAGCATCCGGCACTCCCATGCAAGGCCATTCATCTGCTCTGTGTGAGCAGCTCCCTGTGCCCCTGGGGGTAGCGGTGTTAGCAGGGCGTTTCCCCTCGTTGATCGTATCCCTCGGCGCCCTGGGTCGCTCCTGTCCCTGGGGAAAGGCAGAGGAGCTGTGTCAGGGCCCCAGCTCTGCCAAATAAGCCTCGATGCCTTTTTCTGATTCCCCAGGGTCCTGAACGCTGTGCCTGCAGGGTGGGCTACCGGGGGGGGCCACTCCCCTGCCCTGCTGAGGAGGTGGTCTGGTGACTCTGCTGCTGTCTGGAAGCTGGTTAGGGGACGGGTGGGGGTAGGAGCGGGGGCAAGTCCAGCTCCCCGTGGACGTGGCTCTGTGTCACAAAAAGCCATGCAGAGAAGCGCAGGCCTGACAAAGAAAAGGGCCTGGGGGCTACGGCGGCTGAGAAGCTGGATGTGAGTCAAGAGTGCGCCCTTGTAGCCAAGAGGGCTAGCGGCGTGGCCAGCAGAGCCAGAGATGTCGTCGTTCCCCTTTGTTCGGCTCTGGTGAGGCCACGTCGGGAGCCTTGCGCCCGGTTCTGGGCCCCCGCTGCAGAAGGGATGTGGATGAACTGGAGAAAGTCCAGCGGAAGGCAACAAACAATGCCGAGGGGGTCGGAGCACTGTCCTACGAGGAGAGGCTCCCTGTGCCCCTGGAGTTGGGCTTGTTTAGTCTGCAGAAGCGAAGGGTGAGGGGGGATTTGAGAGCAGCCCGCAACCTCCTGAAGGGGGGTTCCAGAGAAGATGGCGAGAGGCTGTTCTCAGTGGGGGCAGGTGGCAGAACAAGGAGCAATGGGCTCAAGTTGCCGCGGGGGAGGGGAGGTCTAGGTTGGAGATTAGGACAAACGATTCCCCTGGGCGGGTGGGAAGCGCTGGGCTGGGTTCCCTGGGGGGGGGGAGGCTCCACCCCTAGGGGTGTGTAAGTCCCGGCCTGCCCACGCCCTGGCTGGGGTGGTTGAGGAGCAATGGGCTCAAGTTGCCGCGGGGGAGGGGAGGTCTAGGTTGGAGATTAGGACAAACGATTCCCCTGGGCGGGTGGGAAGCGCTGGGCTGGGTTCCCTGGGGGGGGGGTGGAATCTCCATCCCGGGAGGTGTGTAAGTCCCGGCTTGACACAGCCTGGCTGGGCTGGTTGAGTTGGGGTTGGTCCTGCTTGGGGGAGGGGGCGTTGGACTCGGTGACTCTGGCGCTGTCTGCCAGCCCTGGGCTTCTGGGATCCCAATGCCTCTGCCCCACAGAGCGGGACCCTCCGGGGCCAGCCTTGAGACCTGTCTCAGG